CTGCATGTCTTCCTTTTGACGAAATTGGAGCCTTTTTTTTTTATTAATTTTCACTCGCGTTTTCCGGCTGTTGTTATTTATCAAGGATATACAAGGTATATGGGGTATAGTATCCTATAAGGATAGAGTATGGGTATGCTTCCGCGCAGCTACCTGGGATAATGCACCATAGCCAAAATAGTCCGCACACGTTTTGTTTTGATAGCCCTTAAATATACAAAAAACACTTTGCTTAATTATTATATTCTCTAAATTTTAAGCGATGATAGTTTACCTTGAGATTTGCGTTCTGTGTAGCATAATGATTGGTATAATTTGCGCGTGAAATTGCAGGTGCGGCCTTTTTATTTGGATTTTCTTTGAAATTCGCCGCTTTGCTAAAGACATCGCTTGCTCGTCGGAGCTCGCTATAGGAAGAGCTCACCGGACTTGGGGGTGGTGGTAGGTCTTCTTCTGGCTCCTTGTCTAACATTGATTTTGTCCAAACGGAGAGCATTTTGGGCACAGACGCATTCGGCGAAACAACATCAACCATATTTGAATCTGTAAGGACAATTTGCTTAATAATTTGTTTATTTGTAATAAGTATCAATAGCTTAGTCCATGTAACTGTCGGCAATATCTATTTATCTCGTACAAAATGGCTTTAAAATCATTTTCTAACTTTCGTCAAAATTCACCCCTCTTAGATCGAGAATTTGGGCCAAGGGTTGAATGAGCGAAGACTAAAGACAAATATCTTTAGGAAAATTAATTTGAGTTGTGTTTCTCACATTTTTCTAAAATACTCTGATGGAAAATAAAGGTCATAAATTGAATGTACAGAACTTATTTGAAAATCTACACAAAAACTTAATTTCTACATTTCAGCGATCTTTTATATATCGCCAGACACTGTAAAAATCGTAAGAAAAATTTACCATACTTTGGTTTTGCCATATTTAAAATAAAATATATTTAAAAAATAACCTAAATAGTTGAACTTGAATGAATGGGAAAACGTGAACTTCAGCTCTTTTTTTATTTAAGCCTGGATGTAAAGTTCCCGCGAGCCGAATGCTAGGGAAATTTATAGAAAACATTTGAAGCGAAAAACATGGGAAATACTAGTTGCATATAAACGAGAACGTGATTATGAAAATTCCCCCAGACGAAAGATGGGTGCTTAAAAGATTCTGGGAAAATTTTAAATTAAAGATAAAAATAAAAAGGTGCATAAATTTGAGGCAATTTGTTGATTGAAACCTAATATCCATTTTTTAAAATTATTAACGTCCTTGGAAGCGAGTTTAATTTGATGCCGTATTTAAGATATGTTAATTTTGCTTGATAGGGCGTAAAGATGGACGCTTCAAGAAGCGGGTAATCATTATAAGAACTTAATGTGCTAACTCACCCTTTTGTGGACAATTTTGTAGTTGCATGGATAAATGCATGAATGCAGCTTTTGGCTCGTTGGTTGGAATCTCGCGAGCAGCTGGCAAATTGCTATAAATTGAAGCAATTGGGCTTCCGAAATGATGGCCACTCAATGACGTGGAAGAAAGCTTCGGAATGCTTTGAATGGGATCTGTGACCTGAGTCTGCGATCCCAACAGTCCTTTCCTTTCCATTTGCTGTTTGTGATACGCCAAAGCTTCCAGTTGCTGCTCCAATACGGCCGGGTTATCCAAAGTGGTTTGGCTGTTGCTAGGTTTATCGCCGCCGAGTCCTGAATATATGGCTGGCTGCCTGCGCAAAAGGTTGCCGCCGCCTTCGGTTCCTTTGGTTTTTGACAATTCCAAGCTGAGCAAAGGCTGGGAAAAAAGCGGTTCTCGGGTATCCATAACTTGTTTGCTGAGGGGTACCTAAAACAAAAAAAAAAAACAAAAAATATCCTCAATTAGAATAAACAACATAAATGAGTTGGGCTTGGCCGTGGATGTCTTTACCTGAGGCATTTCATTTGTTTTCTTCAATGGCTTTGGTGGAATGGATGGTGCCGTCTTCGATTTGCTGAGAGTGGCATTCTGTGCAGACTCAGCTTTCTGTTGTAAGTTGTCAACTAAAGCTGCTACTTTTCCGGTCCTTACAAGTCCATCGTCACACCTCCTGTTCAATATTGTTAGTTGCTTTAATTGCTCTTCTATGGAATTCATTGTGTCGTCTCCTCGCCCTATCAATTGCAAACTGACGAATATTTTGTTATTTTATAAAGACACACTAATCTGTTAAACGACTTTCCATCGCACAGTTAGTAGTTCATCTTCAACGATTGCGGAAAATAATTGATTTATAAATACACAACACAATTAGGGATGTGTGAACATTGACAGCAATTATCGTTGCATTATTTTCGGGTAATGCATGTAAGGGCTATCGCTATGATTTTTGTCCGACTATCGATGACAAGTCACAAATTATATTGATTTTTCAATGTAGCTTTTTATACGATAGTCTAAATAAGGTTGTTATATCGATACCATTTAAAGCTGATTAGAATTGTACCACTAACCATACAATGTATAGACATACCAAATAGCACTTTTTATCGAAACAAGAAAAATCGAAAGGCGACCTCAATGTTATTTGCGACCATTTTAGTGTGTCCAGACAGAGTAGGACTGCTGAGAGTGGCAACCGAACGCCGGCCTCAAAAGCCGAACGTTCAGTATGAAGCCGCATCTCGCTCAGCGCACAGCGTCGCGCGTGATGATGCGTTTTCTTAATATATGTATGTATGCCATTTTTAAATCCTTACAGCCCAAAAGCATATGTGTGTATGCATGTGCATCGCTCATTGCTTTACGCACTTGCGTCCATCTCTTTCTCCCTCCACGAGATCTACAAACATTCCTATGTTTGTGTTGTGTGGATGTGCGCACAAGTAGATCGCGGCGTTTGTCGCGAGCCAGAGGTTATTTCTTCAATTGTGTGCCTTTTGTGCATATGGTAGCAATAGGCACCCACATTTAAATGCTCTATCATGTATTTCTTCGTCCAGTCAGGCATGATGAGAAGAATTTTATCAAATTTTATTTTATACACAATTAATTAGCCTAAATTAAATATTTATATTTATTTTCTGTTTACTGTAGGGCCCTTTTTTGCTTAAAATACAAAAATATCTAAGTCGTATTTCTGCAAGGGTAATCACCGTCGGCTTGTCGAAGAATTTAAGAAATGAATAAAAATTGACGCACACTTTTTCAAGTAAGCAGTTGTGTGAAATTATAAAAGGGTTTGGCCTGTTCATGTGCAAAATTACTATTTTCCATGCTTCTTGTAGGGGTAAGGGTACCTGATCGCTGGCATGTGTGCTTGATTACTTTTTGGGTCGGCCAACCACGCACACTAACACACTTTTCTATATGGATGGGAGCATTACTGCGCTTGTGTGCGTGTTGGTTGCCTGCCTGCCTGCCCGATGCAAATTTGACAAAATTTGAAGTTTTTGGCATTTGTGAATTTCGAGCTCTACACACATACATACACACACTCACAAATGTGTGTGAATGTGCTGATCAAGAGTTTGTCGCGAGGCAGAAATATTTTTATCAATGGGTGCGTAAATTTGGGCGACTGGCAAGGTCTTTGTTTTTTTGGCATGCCTGCGGTGGGCTTGCAGCCGCAAAAGAAACAAATGTATAAAAAGGCAATGAAAATGGTATGGATCCAGACGCATGATATACATTCTGATCGTTAATTGCCTGTAATAAAACCCTTTAACCTAAGATTATAATAATGCCAATAAAAGATTACTTGCATTTTTTCCATATCAAAGTGCAAACCAGCGACAAGTGCCATCCACCTGTTTCATTCAAGCGCGACGTTGTGCGCTGAGCGAGATGCGGCTTCATACTGAACGTCCGGCTTTTGAGGCCGGCGTTCGGCTGCCACTCTCAGCAGTCTTACTCTGTATGGGCACACTAAAATGGTCGCAGGTACCATTGGGGGTTGGCTGGTGCCATTTGGTATGTCTATACATTGTATGGTTAGTGATTGTACACGTTGCCACAAGAGCACTACATTTTATCAAGAAATAAATGGTAGGACTTATCAGCTGTCCGTTACATTATATGCGTTTAAACACGTTTTGAGCGGGACCAGCGGTAATCGCTAGCTGGTGAATTCTTCTTTTATTTAGTCTTAGGTCCGGAAACGGACATTTTCTGTTACATGATGATGACTGAACAGGGATCAACGTTCGTTATTATCTTCATCGATTTAAATTTGTTTGATTTAATTCCCCAAAGCGAACACCAACCAAAATTAAATTTGTGTGGGCTTCAGATGATTTGCAACACTGCTTACAGCGTTGCCCTGGAGCGCGATCGAAAAGTTTGGCGCCAATGAAATTTACAGAGATATGAATTTAATATACCTACACCAGGTATTTTGCTTTTACGGATACTTGTATATCATGAGTATATTTATAAATATAAGCAAAAACCAGTTAAAAGAATTCTTTCTTTAAAGCTTATTAATTAATTATTTTGTATTGCATTTTTATATTTACACATTCACGGTAATACGAAGATTGGCATTAATATTGGTAAATCTAGGCTCTACTTGTTTGAATGAGCCAAAGTTAAACGAATGAAAATTATGCGTGTTCTCTACTGGCGGTAAAAAATTTACAAATTCCATTCGTATAGCCATTTTTCACTGTCAACATTTCTTAAATTTTTTGCGAATGTCACATTTTTTTTCTGGAAATGTGTGCGTTTTCCCATAGGAGATCACATTTCATACACTTTTCAAGAATGTGACATTAAAAAAAAAAAAAATTGGTATTCGCCCCGAATAATCGTGTTTTTTGCGACTTATCGATGTTATGAAAATATGAAAGTATCATTACCATAGACAGATGATAAGGCAACGAAGGTAAGAGGTAATTTTAAGTTATAATTTAAAATTTTACTAATTGTACAGTTTTTATACCCTGAACCCATTAAAAATGGGTATAAAGGTATATGCTGTTGCTAGCGTTTGCCTCGCAATAAGGTAAATATATTCATGAATAATTTCTGTATTTATTGTTCTAAGGTTATAAAAGGCAGTATACAAAAATGCATTTCGTTTAACACAAACTTGTTTTAATGACTTATTTGAGAAGTTCTTGTTTTTCTTTTACAATCTAAACATATGGTCAAAATTGCAGTTAAGAAATAATATTGTATATTTTCCATGTACAGCTTTATGCGGCTTTAGGCTTCTTATTCGGCACAAAGCTAGACGACTTTATGACACACTTGTGCTGACCGTGCAATCCATGGACGGGCAAACAGCGACAATCGCTGACCGTTTCGGTTTTAAATAGGGTGTCTGCAATGGAGGATGTGACCTGGTTGAGCACCTTCTTTTGGTCAGCAGCTTTGAGCTTATCGAAGTTTTGTGTGTCGAATGCCCAACCGCCGTTGTTGAGCACAAAATCAATGCCCATGTCGTTCTCGAATTGCAATTTGGTGCGCTTCTTGTTATCCTTGCCATCTAAGGTGGCCACCAAACGCGCATTAAAACCTAGATTGTGGACGAGTATGTTAATGTATATGCTTTCAACTTCTGAACCCATTAATTGCTCTTACCAACTAGCTTTTCCGATGGAACACCCTCCAGTGCAAGTCCCTTTATAGGCGCTATTAAGTGAAGAAGAGCCCCATCGAATTTGGTCACGGATCCTGTTATTTGGGCTCGAACGAACTTCAACTGCAGGAATACGAATAAAATTAATATTTGTAATGTGTTAAAAGGTAAAAATGTTAACCTAACGTTTATATTAGAGCTGCCAAGGCAAAGGCTAATTTAATCCCTAATATAAATAATTTGGTGATCGCGAGAGCAAATATAAATCAGTTGACATGACAGCCTCTTTTGCGCCTTTTTAAAAATATTTGAACAGCTCGCAGTCTGGGCACACTGAACATTTCATTAGAGCAGCTGATAGACGAAATCCAAAATTATACAAAACGTTTTTGCTTTTCGAAGATACCTTGACCAAATCGACATTTACTAGTTGCGCAAAGTGCACAGTTTTATCACAATCAGAGCATAAATATCAAATAGCTGCCATAGTAAATATTAGCAAAAATCCCGTTAGCTTAATTAAAGCGTGTTGCTTTAACCAAACATGGCATTTACGAATTATATTATGCGATTGAAATAAAATATAGCAGCCCAGTTAATCAAATACCTCTATAGAATGATGGGTAAGAAAGAGTTCTTGTATACTTTATGTCTATGCCGGCGTTTAAGCTTGGTTTTCCTAAAATAGCACATTTTGTTATGCATGTTATTTCGTTGCTTTGTTAAGTCACGATAGCACTGAAACTATTGAAAGTATCGATCGGGGTGCCTATCGATAGTTTGGCAGGCTCTAATGTAAACGCACGCATTGTAAATGCAATAGACGCTTACCCAGTTGTTGTACTGAAGGGAATTGCTGCGAACGCCAACAATGCTTTTGGCTGCGCCGGCACGGAACGGATAATCTAGAGCCAATTGGAATGCCTTTTCATCTGATTGCGGAACAATGGTCTTAACAAAACGCTCGAGCGTATTGTAGATGTCCAGTAATCGCTTTTCCGTGATAATTTGCTCGACACAATTTTCGCAGAAGTTCTTTGGCCCATTCAGTTGAACATTGGCCACGTTTCCTTTGTAGTTGATTTTACCGTTGTCACTCGTCAACAGGGCCGGGTAACGCTTGTTCTCATCAAATGCGATCACACCCACTTGAACATCGGAGAATCCACGTGTCTTGAGCGATTCGCGTAAATCGGTTATTGCGGGCGCAACCAAATTGGCCAAAACACTGGGCGTTACATTAATATCGACCACAAAGACAACATCTGCCTTGTTGGTTGGCGTCTTCACGGTGAATTCCTCGCCGAAGTCACGCTGACCTGGCGCACCGGAACACTTGAGACAGCGCGTTGGCAACAATACCCATTTGTGTTGTAACTTCAGCGCCGAGCCATATGCCAAGGCAAAGGTGCAGGCAACCGATTCCTTATCCTTTTCGGGTATATTCAGCACGGCAATATCGCACGCAAGGCGATAGGGCCTAGAGTCCAATGTCAAGTAATGGAGGGCCAGCGGTGATTCGATGCCAAAGATCTCGCTGCATATCTCATTGCGCGTCGGGCTCTCCAGCTGGGCCTTATCGAATGCCACGGGATTGCATTTACCCACACCATACTCGTTGCCCAAGGCCGCGGAGTCGCTGGCTAGCGTTCCATCGATTAGCAGATAGTCGTCGTAGGGCTCGGCGTTACCATTTCCGAGGAGGCCACGAGTTTTGCTTGTGTAAAATCCGTTGACATTGACATGGCAAACCTTGAGGTCCGTCGTGCAAACGATCTGCACGCCGTACTCCGAGTGCAGGTAGACCGTATAGAAGCGTCGCCAGCCATGGATGCCAGGCAAATGTTGCGGATACTCGACGGGTTTGCCGTTCACCTTAAGTGCAGCCGTATCGCTCACCTCCATATAGTTGCCGTCGCGATCAATCAGTGTGATGCCCTTCAGTTTGCCATTGTTGAGCTGCGCGATGACCGTAAAGTTTTTGTCGACGCTGTCCTGGGCCAGAATATATTTGCAATTGCCGGGATAGGCGTACGTCTGGCCATCGAAACTGAACACATGCTGGCCATCCACAATGTGGCCGTGCAGCTCGAAGTCGTGGAAGAAGAGCCAAGATTGCAACCAATTCTTGCTGAATATGCCCTCCCAGTTCTCGTTCAACAAAAAGTTGATCGCACTCGAACGGAACGACAGCGCCACCGGCAACCTGGCCAAGGCATCCAACGAACTGGGCCAGAAACTTAGCCAATCCTGCGAGTCGGCGAATGGAACGCGGCCAACGGGCGTATTGCTCTTGACGGCCGCCCAAACTGAACGCACAGCCTTCCACAACAACTTTGAGAGCTCGTCCAGTGACTTCTCCTCATTGACGGGCAACTGTTTCAGTTTGGACTCGAGATATTCGTGAAGCTTTTGCAACAGCTCGGTAACCTCAGGTGTTTGCGGTAAAATATTTAATTGCTCGAATATATTGTTGAGCAGCTCCAATGTGCGCTCGACAAGCTTAAGCTGTTTGACCTTGGTTGTCAGCTCGTTGCGTAGGCTTTCAAATGTTGGCAGCTTGGCCACGTATTCCTTAACTTCGTTGATTATTTCTTCAGCCGCATTCACGACGACCTTTATCAGTTCCTGGGCCGCTTCTTGCAAGGGTTTCAGCGCCTCGTTTATCGCCTTCCCGTAGTTCTTCAATGCGGGGCCGTATTTCTCCAGCCAAGCAATCAGTTCCTTGAATGCCTTTGTCCAGATATTGAGAAGCTCGACACGCAGTTGTCCAAGCACCTTTGTCGTGGCTACGACCAACTGTTCCCATGCCTTTAGCACTGAGTTCTCCCACAGATCCTTCAACTTTTCACCGAGCTCAACAAATGCCTTGTGCACTTTCTCATACTTTTCGGATGTCGTCTTTATAACTTCGTCGATTACTTTGCTTATTTTCTCAATGACGGTTCGTCTAAAAAAGAAATAATGAATTTAAATATCTTACGTGGCACTTTAATACTTCATACTATATATTCGAAGTATAAAATCAGAGTCTTCTAATCAGGGTATAGGATACCATTTGATCAGTTGGTCGACTAGGATCTCTTTTTGACTTCTTGATAAAAACTCATTCTAAATTCGAATTATCTTTCGATTATCTTCGATCATCAATTATCAACTGAAGATATTAAATACAGTTCATCTCATATACTTACGCAGCATCGATAATTGGTTTCAAAGTGGGATCGTTTTCGAGTTCTTTGATTATTGCTTTCACTTGATCCTCGTAGGCGTTCTTTAGTTTTGTAAAATCTGGGCCACTTTCAGAGGCCAATTTAAGATTCTCTTTAAGCTCCTGATAGACCTTATCGAAACGCTTTTTCAAATTTTCGGTTACCGAGTCCGTTTCTTTCTTAAGTTCCGTCTCAACAGTGCTCTGTAATAAATCAAATAGATGTTTAATAGAGGTTTATAGATAGGTTATTTTAATAATTTGCCTACCAGGAACGCGGAGACGTCGGCCTCATTTGTTTTGTAGTTGGTTTGCAGGAAGTTGGCGGGATCAAGAGCTATGCGTCCATTGTATATGGGTTTGCCGGCGCCTATCACATCGAACTTGAACTCTTTACCCAGCTTGACCTCGGCACTGGCATCAATAAGGTTTTGTCGCTTAACTGTGACCTTGGCCCACGTTGGCTGAATCTCGCTAAAGACTTCCAAGGGTTTCTGTTCGAAAACTTGCAGTTTCGAGTTGATTTTCGCAATACGCTTCTGCAGATCAAAGTCGCCGGCCACATGAAGTACTTGATCATTTAGCGCGTTCACCGAAATCTCGACACGATTCTTGTTGCCAAACAGATAGGCACCAGCCTTCTGGTCACCTGTGCTGCCCTGCAGCTCGGTGCTGGCACTGAAATCCGTTGTCTCCGTGTTCACAGCAGCATGCGTGTTTAGTTCGTATTGAATGCGCAAGCCGGAGGAACGGATTTGTTGGTTCGATGTAATATTGAAACCGTTTGCCGCGTGAATATTACGAATTTGATTCTTTGCAATCAGCTTATGTTCGGAACTGCGGAATATATCGAATATCAACTCGCTGTTGAGAATGCGCTGATCACGGTTGCCGTCCAGGCTGCCCGTAATGCTCAGAGGTCGTATCGTTGGATGTTCAACCTTCAGTTGACCCTTGGCATTGAGGGCGACCTGTTCCACGCCCGATAAGTCCAGCACGGCCGAGACGCGTGCCACATCATTCGGACGCTGCAGCTTGTCGATATAGAAGGCCGCGGACTGCTCGTAATGACCAAAGAATTGGCCATCCTTGGGCACTTGCTGAACGGTCTCGAACACAATTTGCCGCTTTGGCAGCGACAGTTGAACGTTTGAGCCGGCGGGCAGGAAATTGGCCGTGAGCTGATACTTGAGATTGTTGCTCGATATAATATGACCGTCCAGATTGTATTGGTACTTGAAGCCCTGACGTGTGTGCTTGGACTTGAACTCCAACTCGTAGGGATAGCCGAGCTCGCGTAGGTCGACCAGGATGAGCACATTATGCTGCACGGCGTCCAGTTGTTCATCGTTTGCGCTCACTGTGGACTGCAGCTGGATGTTGACACATTGCTTCTTCTCCTCACAGATGGACAGCTTGGTGTTGAATTCCTTGTTGGTTACTTTAATCGTTGCGACACCGTTCTTGGGGCCAACATTGCCATTGATTGTGTACGCAAAGCCGACTTCCTTGTCGGAGTTCAGGTCGAAGGTTTGACGGACAAGTTTGAAATTGCCGTTATGCGTTTTACCCTGGTATTGCACCTGTCCTTGGCCCTCAATTATTGCCTTGTTCTGCTCCTTCTTCAAACTGTATGTGGCTGTGCCTGCAATTATCGTGCTCTGTGCACTCTTAAGGTTGACCTTGATGGTCTTGCCCTGGCCCTTTACATCCAGAGCATAGTTGTCTAGCTTCAATTTCTTGGAATTCCAGTTGCCAACAATGTAGAAATCATCAATACTAGTATACGAGGCCTCAGCGCTCAATTTGATATCCAAGTCCAACACATTATCCAGGTCGACCCTGAGCTTAGCCTTACGCTCGCCCAGGACTTCCGCAATGGCAACCACAACTATGGGCTGCTGCGTGGGCAGCGTGACACGCAGATCCAGTCCCTTCTTATGCGTTGACCTATACAATTTGGTGTCCAGCCCGTAGGACTTGTCTGCCTGCTTCAACTGAGCGCTAAGCGAGCTGCTACCCTCGACAGCCTTGTCCTGGCGTACAGATATCTCGATATTCTTAGCAGACTCGTAGCTGGTGTCCAGTGTGTAATGGATGGCAGCTGTGTCGGCTCCGCCGTAATTAATATCCGCATTTGTTTTAATATATTTCTCGGCATATTGTGCCTGGAAAGCGTACTTTTGCGAGCCGCTAGCATTTCCTTCCGTCAAACTGCCCGACTTCTCGTTCTGATAGCTGCCATTAAATTTGATCGGAGCTTTTAGATTATTGTTCTGTGCATCAAAGGTGTAAGTGCCCTGTTTCGCTGTACCCTTCCATACGGAATTGATATTGGTGAATTGCCCATTTCCCGATTTGGTATACAGTGCAAATTCCACATCATAGGCACCTTGGCTGTCCGTTTGCTTCAACCACTTGCCCTGGCTGCTAGCCTCCCAGTTTTTGAACTCAGACTTGGGCGATTGCAGCTTGACTTGCAGCTCATAGCTGGCGGGCACAGTTGCCTCACCCGCATCGTATTTACCATTCGCGTTGACTATTAACCTATCACCCAATTTGACGGACATCTGAACCGCTTCCTGCTTGCTGGACTCATCGCTCGTGAAGGATAACTCAAAGGGTTGGCTCCACAGGGGACTTTGTGCGGAAACGACAAGTTCGACTGCATTGTTTTTGCCCTTCAGCAGATATTGTCCACGATAGTTGAGCTCGGACTTTTGTCCATTGTCGGGTGTATAGATTATTTGACCGTTAACCGAAAGTTCCTTCGTTTTGACATTCCAACGATCCAGCTTCCCCTTAAAAGCTAGCGAACGTTTCTTGCCCGACTCCTGGTAGTTAAACAGCACATCCATATTGCCCTGAATTAGATGGGTTTTGGGATTTGCCGTCACATGGCGATTGATGCTGCCATCGAGAATGTGTCCCTCCGGACAGGTGAGCGTGAACGTGCCCTGGACATCGCCATTTGTACGCCATTCGCCTTTTAGAGCTCCGCTCGCATCGAATGCGTACTTTTTATCATTCGCCTCGAACACATTTTTGGTGCTAAACTTCAGTTTATCGATGGTGTTTTCCGTTTTCAGTTGCACTTTCTTATTGCCGTCCAGTGTTAGACTCGCGTCCAGATCATATTTTGGCGCCTGCACGTGGAATTTGGCGTCAAGTTCTAGCTTATGCTTTGGCTCAGTCTTTTGGGTCTCAACGGTGGCCGTTAGCTCACCTTTGCCATTTTTGGTTATCTTAAAATCACCTTTGGCCGTTAGCAAATTCTTGACAATCACATTCACCTTGGCTGCGGCGATCTTATCCTGCGGATGTTGCGACTCACTGGTCAACTTAAATAATTCAGCGTTGTCGCGACTGATGCGCAGTTCGCTGTTGGTTTTCTCCGGCGTGCCGAGCACCTTGAGTATCCATTGTACGGGCTTCTCCTTGGCCGTTAGCTGTGCACTGCCCTGCAGATCGATGTGCACATCCTGTGCCGAGTAGCGCTGTCCCAGCTCACCCTTGGCCGTCAACGAGCTGCCCCAGCTGGTTGTCAGGACATTGTCTATGATGAATATATTACCACTGACATCACACTTGGAGACGAGGTCAATGGAATGCTTGTTCAGTTTCGCATTTGCCTTCAGTTCGTAGTCGTGCACGGAACGCTGATTGGATTGATATTTAACATTGAGCGTAGCGGACTTTTGGTCGCGTGTTGCCTCAACATCGAATTGGAATTTGTTCACATCGAACGTGGACTCGACTGTCACCGAGCCAACCGGCTTGTTCTTGTGCTCAACGCTCAGATCTTGCGAAAATTTGCCCGAACGCAGGTTATTGGAATTCTCGGTATTCACGTACTCCAGCTCTGTGTTGCTCTTGATGGACCAGGCCACAGCCTTGCCGGTCAGCTGCAGGGCATACACCTTTTCGCCAAGCGTTAGCTGTGCCGAGCCACCGTATACATTCTCCGGAGCACGTTCGTCATTGACAAACACACCGGCCGCATACTGGCCATTGTCCAGTTTAAAGTTGCTCTTCACCAGGAACGATTCCTGGTTGGGCGCAATACGCACTTCGGTGCTGAGCGAGGTCGGTCCGATATCGATCCAACCGTTGATCACGAAACGATCGTTGTTGCGGCTCGAGATTTGGAAATTCTGAAAATTGTAACGCGCCTGTTTCTCCCCCGTTTTTTGTAACACGATCTTGCCGTCGACCTGGTAGCCGTTGATGTTATTCGAGACACCGTTTTTATCCTGGATCTCAATAATCGGCTTGTACTCATTACCATTTTTGGCAAAACCAATTTTGCTCTTCTTAATTGTTTTATCCTGTTCATATTGACCGTATAGGACCAACTCCTGAGCGTCATTGGTAATGCCAGCTTCCACGCCCAGATGATACTGGGGACTATCCAGTGTTAGGCGACCATATGTTTTGGGTTTGGTACCGAGCTCAAGGGCCAAGCTGGTATCATGGGAAACCTTGGAGCCGGGCGTACTATACTGTAGTTTCCACTGATTGCTGCCCGATGGAAGAGTTGAGTGCGTACCCTTGAGGTTAAATTTACGCTCGGTTGTCAGGTAGACAGCAAATGTGAATGGACGGGAAAGATGAACCTCATCAACGAGTGAATTTCCCTTGCCGCCGCCAGCTCCAATATCGCTCAGACTGGTTGAACTGACCAAGCAGACGTTTAAACCAATCACATCCAGCTGATTAAAGCACAGCTCGGTTGGTTTGGCAGTCTTCTGTTTCTTGCCGGCCTTTAGGGGAATGGATTTGATGGGCTTGTCCTGTTCGGCAACGAAAAACTCCGTGTTCAACTGCACATTAATGAGCTCCAGCTTTTCGCGTGGCAGCTCCACGTTGACATTGAAGCCATCGCCATCCTTGATCAAAGAAACGGACACATCGCTGCCAGTTGCTGAATGTGCGCTCGACACAACCCGAAGGCCCGTGGCAAGCACCTGGGTATTGAAGCCAAGTTGAACATTTACATTAACATCAACGCTTGGCACAAATTTCAAACGGTATTTGGCTCTTTGCCAATTCTGTTCCAAAATTGCGTTGACATCGATGTTAACCGCAAAATCAATTTTGTTAGCCGCAAAGCCCTGGGCTGCCAGCTCCAGTGGCACGCCTAGGCCGGTTGGATAGGTAAGCTCTGAGTCGAGGAAGAGATGATGGCTGGAGAACTGTTTCTCGAATGAGGTCAATTCCTTTTTGGCCTTGTCAAATGCTTCCGAGAAGTGCTTGATAATGTCCTCCAAGGTGGTTGGAATATTGTCGCCCAGACTCAAAAATGCCAGCTCGGAGCCGAACAGTTTTAGCGACAGATCCAAGTTCAGGTCCTGTTCGTTATTACTGCCATAGGTTTTGTACTTTTTGGCCGTCTTGGCGGCATCGTCGACAATGGAGCGTCTGGCGCGGCCACCAGCTCCATTTCCGGCACCGTTGCCCACCTCAATCAGTTTGACAATCTCATCAAAGTCTTTGTTCAGCAAACCCTTGGGTCCCAAATAATATTCCAGAAGATTCTCAAGGTTCTCTTGTCGTACGTTTGCTTCAAACACATTGAAATTATGCCCAAAGATTTCCGTAGTCACATTAAAACGCGTTGAGCGTGGCAAAAATCCATGCTGCGAATAGATGAGCTTGTAATCTGAGCTGGCGCTCAAGCCCAATGCGTCCAGTTTATAGGAGAGCTCGTTGTTAAAGCTATATCTTCTATAGTCTTTCGGGAACTGCTTGGTCACGCGAATGTTGCCTAAGTAGTATCTTTGCTGCTCACGTGTCGCGTCCGTTGAATCGCGTATGGCTCTCAGATTGGATTCAATAAAGCCACCAACCTGATAAACCTTCTCCGTGTTAACCATTTCGGAAATCTGGTTGGCTAAATCGGCAGTTGGACAGCTAATGGCTGCCAGGTAGGCTTCAATGCGCAACTCGGAATCTTCATTGTGATCCTTAAGCAGGTCGACAGCCTTAGACCCTAAGGCTCCATTGCAGCCGAGGGTTGAGACCGCCTGCAGAGCAGCGACACGTATGCGATTGGAGCGGCCGGGAGAGACGCACTCGTTCAGTGCTTGTGGAACATTATTGGCAAAATTTTTCGCATTGCCAATGCCCTTCAGAATGTACACTATACGTTCCTCTTCCTTCTTGGAATTGGGCTTACAGCTCTTAAGACCATCGACAAACTTTTTAGAAATCGCCTCAATATCGCCGGATTTGCAGCCATTTTTGTTGCAATACTTGGCCACGAGGCTGCCCACAGCCAAATAGATCTCCTTTGGTGCATTGGGCGACAGTTGGGCAGACGCTTGATTGAGTGTTTCCTTGTCCACCGTCTCGACTAGGTTGAGCGACAATATAGCAAGGATTTTCTCCTTTACTTCGAATTTATTGAGCTGCTTTAGTATAGCTCTGGCCGATTCAGCTGTATTTGTGCGGAATAGTGCGTCCAGGTAGACCTTGCGAGCCAACACCTTGTTGGGATGCGGAATGGCCGACAGCTCCAGCAAGGTTTCCGCATCAGATTGTCGCAAAAGGCGTATTAGCTCAACGAATTTCTTGGCGCTATCCTTTTTGACATAATCACCGGTTAGGTCGACAAGTTCGGCGAGTGCCGACTTGAGAGCAGCAATATTTTTCGTCGCATAAGTTTCGGACTTTTGAAAAATAATGCTGGCTGGACTCGAACCAGTAGCCGGCGCATTCGCTGCTGTACCGGCAGGATTTTGTAGTTTCAGTGTGGTGACAACCTTGGCAGTGATATCCGTTACACCCTTTGTTGTGCCCGCGAATTTATACAGCTCCACTAACTGAACATTTTGGACAACACCACGTTCAATTTTCGATTCCTTATTGTAGTCGGACTGAAAGATTGCAGTCGACTTAACGCCAGCCTTCTCATTGACAATCCCGGACAACAGGCCGCTGGTGAGTTGCTCTCGATGAGCGCAGCTGTTCAGGTCGCGCACCTTGGTCACGGTCTCGACATTGCCAGACTTTGAGGTTGAGGTGTGCGTTGGACACTGGCCGAATACATCCACCTCATTCGTCACATCGGTTCCGGTTTCCGATTGCAAAAGCGATATAATGCCACGCTTAATGTTAAGCGAATACTCGGTATCGCTGGCATCGGTGCAAATCTGTGCGTCCAGCTGGCCATTGGCCAGTGTGAAGTGCACCGGCTTCTGGATGTTGGTCAGTATCTTTTTCTCAATCGATTCTTTGGTGTTAATAACCTTAACGGCGCCGACCTGCAGTGTGTAGCCGCAGTTGCCATTGGCAAAGATCTTGGCCGAGCCAGTTACTTTGAGGCTGGTGTCATCCGCTTCGTTGACAACGCCCGAACTCAATCCGACTGTTAAGATGCTGTCAAATGCGTACTCATAAAAGTTACCAGGCGTATATTTCAGTAGACCATTATCGGCTGTTACGTTATAAAAAAATCATTGTTATTGCCCGAAAAAAAAGTCAGCTTCCGATAGATTTACTTACGTCGAGGACATCCTTTATTGCAACTACCATCTGCAATCAATAAATAAATAATATTAATTTACGGCCTGCACCCAAAGAGAAATAATCAAATTTCAAAGAGTGCTCTACTAGAATATACGCCCAACCAAGCGCCGAGCTGCCTTCGTCTTCCTTTGGTCCAACATGGGAAATACCTTCGTGATTAGCTTCGAATTGCTAAGAATTTTAGATATTACATTTCCACGTCCGTGGAATCATCTTCTATTTATTAAAATTTTTTTTAATAGCGCATCGAATAAGGAATTTATGTTGGAATCAACGGCCTCCGCCCATGTTGGTCGTGTGTTGAGAATCTTGAGGCCGAAAATTAACCTTTGACCCACACTTTTCATCCAAGAGCGGTGAGCTTTGCGAAAAATGTATCAAATTAATTCTCTAACAGATCTTTGAAAATAAGTTTCAAACCGATAGTAAAATGGTTACAGATTTTCCGCCCAATTTCCACTGTTGCGGGTAAAATTGTACAATTCGTTAAAACACATATTCATTAAGTTCTTATATACAGATTTGAAAATCGATAGATCGACTGTAAAAAGTGTGGATGTGTTTTTTATACCCTTGCAGACGGTAATATAATTTTGCCTCGAAAATAGGCCGTTTTCTCTCGTTTTCATTAGAACTTTCTTATTTCGACTTTATTCGAAATGGTGATAATATGTGCTCTGAATAAATATTCACATTTAAATCAAATAACTTTTTGCATGTGCATTTATATACATAAATGTTCTTTTCTTATATGTACTTATATATATCTTGCCTGAACAAATGTGATTCCTGCTGCAGGCGGAAAACGGGCACTTCAATTAATTTCAATAAAACGCGATTATTTCAATACAATATTTGTATACCCTACAATAATTGATACAATAGTACAATTGTATTTCTGTGTTATGCTTATGCTTAATTTATCCACATCATATAGCACCACATCATATAAGTAGCTCGCATAGGGACAATTGCTCGAAAATGAACTGATTGCATAAGTACTCCATTGTGTGGATAAGTACAGCTACATAACGCACATCTACTGTATCTATTCAAAATGTGTAAAATGTATCTGTCGATTTGAATGTACGCGTCGATCTCAGAAGATATAGAAGCTAGAAGCTCTGACCGAATTTAAAGTTTTCTTTCGATATTTATTTATTTAAAAAATAAAATGTAGAATTTATTTTCTTGTACAGTATCTCCGGTTAAGTGTATGTCACTTTTTACGTATTACCTCACTTTTATAAATTTATAGTTTTCTTTCCATATTTATAGTTTTCGAGCCTATACAAATTTTAACAAGTAAGAGGTTCTAGTCGGGAGCTCCCGACTAGGGGATACCCTGAACCCTCTTATTCCAACACCAAATAAATCTCTTGGCAGGGCTCGAATTTGCAGCTGACCGCATTACTTACTGTCGACTCTACTCAACAGCCACACCAGCAAAAAAAAAAAAATAATAATACTTTCCCCGGTAGGGCTCGAACTCGCGACAGACCGCACCACTTGCTATGCCTCTACTCAGCAGCCACACCAACAATTAAATACTTATGATAAAAAGGAACTAAAATAACATTACAAAAAAAAGATGCAATTACCATGCTATTAGAATGCGAAGCAGACGCGCATGAACGTGTGTGTGTACATGTATACAGAAATTCTTAAAGCTGCTGCCCCATTCAATTGCACAGTTGCATATAACTTTGGTTTTTCTTAACCGATCTTTATGAAATTTTCTACAGTATATCTTATTGTACCATAGAATATTTGTGTATTCTGAAAAAATCAATTGCATGGTTTAAATAGGTTGGCAATAAAAGTTGGGTTATTAACTTGATTTATAGCTCTGGGGTGGTAGCGGGGAGGTGGCGATAGGTATGAAATGAAAGATACTTGAAATATCTATAATATTCTAGAAGCAACATATCATGTTTGGTGGCTCTAGCTCTTATAGGTTCTGAGATCCTTTGGCTCATACATACGGACGGACGGACGGACAGACAGACGGACATGGCTAGATCGACTCGGCTATTGATGCTGATCAAGAATATATATACTTTATGGGGTCGGAGATGCTTCCTTCTGCATGTTACATACATTTGGCTTTCGCACAAATACAATATACCCTTATACCCATTGTTAATGGGTTCAGGGTATAAAAATAAAATGTATTTATTTTCTTGTATAGTAATTTCGACTTTTGTATCCCACTTTTCAGTTCTAGAAATTCCATATAGACCGAACTGTCAACAGCGAAGTTTTGTCAAGAATGGCTGTTCGAATGACTGATACAGTGTATTCCACAGTCGGGCGTATACAATTAGAGCACCCGAAATATGTTTGCGTGTGTACATACCAGAGTTAACTGTAGTTGCCAATAGCAGAAGAATCAGGATACCACAAGTGTTAACAGGAATAGCCATCCTTTTAACTGTACCGGCCCCCTTTGGGTAAGCCTACAGAAAATGAATGGATCATTGCACATTGCATTAGTAATTTATTCGTATATGTGTATGCGTTTTTTTTTTTTAAATGTGTAATATTTTGGGAGAATATCATCCGTATGTACATTATGTTGCACTTATGTACTTGTTTTTAATTTTTTTGGTGTTTTTTTTTTATTGCATTGTGTAACACGAAATAGGAAGGATTCTGTACCTTTTATACACGGAAATTTATACTGCAATTCCTTTTACTGAACTAAGTTCAGAGAAACACGCACACAACTCGACAAACAACCGAATCGATATGGACCCGACGACAACTGACTTCGAATTAAGCCGCATTTTCCGCTAGAACACAATTTAAATACATCGCCTTGCCTCTGCGTACAAATACGTATCTGTTTATAGTATAATATCTACATAGAACTGTAGAAGTGTTCGTGCTTGTGCTTGCCTATGTGTGTTTGTATGCATGTATTAGTTGCTAAACGATATTCTTGATGAGCGTGTCCCCACTTGGGTGTCATTTTTGTCTGTGCTCTCACGGTCAGGTTGCTCTCATGCATTGAAATATCAGTTTGAAGCATTGAAGGGTGCGCTGCCTTCTGAGCATTTTCCATTATCAGAAGAGGATTTAACGCATTCGACCCCTGCTCAGCTACTTTATCTCCACTGTATGTGTGTGTACGTAAGTACACAGTACATATGTATGTGTGTGTGTGTGCATGGCAAGTGAGAGTGGCCGACTGGGAGATACCATGTAGCCTATTACAAATTGCTACACATGCATACATAAGCACACATACACACATGCATACATATCAAGGTTTTCGCGTCGTAAGCTGACCCCCCGCCTATTGCAATGACTGTGCTTCTTCTTATACCCTTAACGGTAAAAAGGTTTTGTGCAAATTTGTATAGCGCAAACTGCGCATCAAGCGGTGTTTGTGAGAGTGTGTGTGTATATGTGTGTGAATGTGTATTTTTGTATATGCATTGAGGGATGCTAGAATGAAGTAAAGCTGGCTTGGCGCTGTGCCCAGGGTAAATCCTAGTCGAGTACTCCCGACTGGAACACTTTTACTTGTTTCCCCCTTGCCCGACGCTTTAGAAAATGTATTTTTATACCCTGAACCCATTAAAAATGGGTATAAGGGTATATTGTATTTGTGCGAAAGCCAAATGTATGTAACAGGCAGAAGGAAGCATCTCCGACCCCATAAAGTATACATATTATTGATCAGCATCAATAGCCGAGTCGATCTAGCCATGTCCGTCTGTCTGTCTGTTCGTCCGTCCGTCCGTCCGGACGCTCCTAGCTCCCGCGCAGATCGAGTTTGTTTCCGATGATCGATAACTTACTCCGTTTCCAAGCAATCGATAAAAATCTATATCGATATCCTGTTTTGTCAATTTTGGTAAATAATAAGAGCTAGAGTCACCAAATTTGACATATAGCTTCTAAAATAGAATATATATATGCATTTGATGTTCGAAAAAGAGGGTTCAGGGTATCCCCTAGTCGGGAGCTCCCGACTAGAACCTCTTACTTGTCTGACTTATTTTTGTGTTTATTGACTGCAATGAATGATAGAATTATCCTAAGCTAAAACCGACAATAATTTCATTTTAGGTGCAGTTGAGGGAGGTAGCCGAAAAATTCCTACGTACATCGATGCTTGTGTGTGTGTGTACACATATGTATGTATGTATTTGTGTATGAATTGCAGCTTACGCCTGATAAGAAACTTTAATCGTTAATTAAAAGTTGCTTGAAAGCAAAACGCGGCTCGATAAGCGCACAAATTCTCGCTGTTCATACCTGACAGAAAAAATTACAGTTCGTAAGATTATCGCTTAAATATTATTGGTATAAGTCTATGCATAGCGAATTTCTTGTATCTATCTCTGTATATATAGCTGTTTATCATGACTGACTGTCTGACAGACTGACTGACTGACTGACCGACTCATTGATTGGTGATCAGATTAAGCTAAAATTTTTACTGTAGTACGGAGGACGAGGAGGCGCACGGTAACACAAGCTTTTCAGAAATTTCATCCGCAAGTATAGAAAAAGCGTGAAAAAGTGAAGCAGCGAAACTTTTTTGTTTGCCATCCGTTTGGCTTCAAAATTATTTCCAAATTTGATTGTTCAATTGATTTGAGAGGCTTTTAACACTTTTTAGGCAGTCCATACTTCCTTGGGTAACAACCTCTAGTCCACAGTGTGTTATGGATCTTAAGATATATAGAAACTTAAAGACTGATGGTCTCTCATCTTGTTACTTCAATAGTATTTCTAATCTAATCAATACAATTTAAGAAGCATTCATTTAACCTTTGTACTCACGATTGATTCTGCAGCTTGGGTAGAATTATTCGATTAATATAATTAATTTTTTATACTATATCGATTTATTTGTTAGCAAAGCAATAAAACTTTGAGAGTAGTTCGCATAGAAACAGACAGACGGCTGTTGATGCGGATAATAAATATATAAATATATATACTAAATGGGGTCGGAGAATGTGTTCTGCTATGCATTGCACATTTCATGACAACATTATAATACCCTCTACAAAGTAAATATGACCTTGGAGCTGCTCGGAGAGTATAGTTTTAGGACTTATCGAAAAACGTATCAAATAAATTCTCTAATAGATCTATTAAAATGAGTTTCAAATTGATAGTAAAAAAAGTTGCAAACTTTCCGCCCAATTTCCACTGTTGCGTCCCAAGACGCCGAAACACATATTAATTAAGTTCTTATGTAGGAATTTGAAAATAGGTTTGAAGACTTAAAACTTAGCGCAAAAATAAAAACTTTGAACCGCATTTTCCACCGAGAAAACATGGTTTCTGCGAAAATTGTGGAACACATCTCAAATGGTTTTAGTTTTATAGATCTTTGTACGAATATATCTATTGGAAAAGTCTTCAGCTCCCCAAATGAATTTTCTAACTCTTATAGTCGGGGCAAACAGTTTTATATATAGAGATTATTCTAGCAAGTATATAAACGAAGGGATCTCTATTATTTTAGCTATAACATATTCCGTCCGAACGAACTCCAACTTGTTACATGGCTTAAAGTCAAACGGATGGGAAACTAATTGTTGTTATCAATCATGTTCCTTAATCAATGAGGCACGTCGTTATCCGCGGCAAGGGCTAATAGGCTATAGAGCTAGGAACTTGAAATTTATAAATCATATTCTCGTTATATTTAATTAATTATATTCAAAATATCAATTTGTAAACAAAGCATACCTTGAAGATTGTGAAAGCTGCCGAGGCGTAAGTTCTTGAATACTATTCACAAAATTACCAATTACCAAAGTTATTCCAGACCGCACATTAGTTATAGATTTGTGTTAACCGTGGCCTACCTCTATTTTTTGTAAACGTTCTCTTAAGGCTACGGAAAATAAAGATAAATCACGGTTAACACAGACGTATAAAAACCCACAGTATAAGATCTCCAAATGCATACGATTTTTTATAAGGCAGATCTGATCTCTTTTAGTCGGGAATTTCACGTATAATCGAGGTTCAACTGTAGTTTTACCCAATGCGAAAATACGCTAAAATTATTATGGATCAATTGTCGTTTAAAGCTTAAAAATATTGTTTTTATTATTATTAATTATTATATGTTATGTTAATCACAAATTAACAAATTGTAGTATTTACGGTTTATTTAACGGCTTGGTTCTGAGCAACAGGAGTGTTAATTTTATTTTTATTTGTATTTTTATTTTGTTATTTTGTAATTTCATAAATGTAAGTTTGTATTCAACTGTCGAGAGTAATAAAAGAAACATCTTAATGTGTGTGGATCTGTTTCATTCAGTGGGTAATGTACAGTATAATGAATAAACACAGCCACACACACTTTTTGTGGCCCTTGTAAATGGCCTATATAATATCTAGATGTACTCACACATGCACATGCATTCATATATTATATATATTATATCATTCGATTTGATGAAAGTTTTACTTTGTTGTTTTTTGTGTATTTCGAATTTATTTAATAAATTTAGCTTGGCATGACTTTTTAAAAATCGGCTCAGAATGAAAAATTTATAAGGGCATGAAAACCTTTATCCTAACTATTAAATTTTACTATCCGGCAGACCGAAAATGTTGTGCCTATTCCAGAACTTTCTTAAGATTCGACACATTTTTGAAGATTTACGGAATATGAGAAACGAAGCTCAGAAACAGAATAAAGAAATATTTATGTACAATTTTGTTTAAATCACATGGCAAACAAATGGGAGATGCAATCGGGATAAACAAACTCTTAATTTAACGAGAATCCGGCTTCGACTTTTAGACTGTGGCTACAATAAAACCAAAAAAAAAAGATGAGAAGAAGAAAGAGGAGCTGTAAGATAATTAAACTAATAATTGGTGAGATTAACCTCAATCTTGAAAATAAAAATTTACTTTTAGTAAGAAAGTATTTTGGTTCTTAGAGATGGATCCTGTTTCAGCTTAACGACCAGCTGGCACTTAAAACAGATAGACAGATACGCGGATGCAGAACAACAAGTTAAATAATAATCAAGTATGTTGATAATGGGGCTTAATTTGCTTTGCCAATCAAAGTTGGAATAGGCATATTCTGAATATATGAAACCCTATCTGACATTCTGGCTACGCTACAGCACAGCTCTACGCTAATTGTCGCCTAAGAGTACTCGTAATAAGTATTTGGTAAAGACACTTGTATGGTTGGAATTATTACTTAATGTTATTCGCATTTGTTAATGTTTAGGTATGCATTTAGTATATTTTTCTCGCTGATTTAGGCACTTTGTAAACTTTAATTAGAGATATATAGATATATATATATATAAATACGTACATACATAGAATAAATACCCGCCCCTCACTTTAAAATTTTAAATATGCCAATATTACCCATAGGTAACGTTTACTTTTAAAATTTATTTGATTTTAATTCGGGGCCAATTGTTTAGAGTTCATTCCAGCAACCCTTAATTATTTAGGAGTGGCCCATTTGGAAAGTAAGGAGCTATTATCTTATGATTTCAAAGGACGGAAAATAGTTTAGCTTAGTAATTCCAGTCCATTTTATCTTTGCTTTTCACAAAAGATACATTAGAGTGCTGCAAAACAAAGGGGAAAATAAAATTAGTTTATCATTTGTTAATCTTTTATTGTTACTCGCTTCCTTTATTTGCAAATAATAACTAAATAAATGCAAAACTTTAAGCTCGCTCTAATGTGTTATGTTGAATGTCCGCACGCCTGTCCGTAGATCTCACAAATATAAACATATAGTTTTCGAAAAATATTGTATTCTAATAGATTATAATTTTTAAGAAATTGATCTACTTGCCTATAATTTAATTTCCGTAATTCAATAGGTAGTAAAACATTGTAGCCCACCAACTCGAAAAAAAATAACAAATTAATTTACAATTTTTGAATATCAAATATTTTTATAAATAATTTTTTTTTCTCATTTCAAAATAAGGTCTGTCACAATATTTCCGAACAAATATCAATCTTTTAAAAATAAATGTTTTTCCTATCAAACGAGATTAATCATTTTCATTTTTTGTTAATATTATCATTATTATTATTAATGTTATCATCATCATTATTATTATTATTAATATTATTATTATTATTATTATTATTATTATTGTTATTATTATTATTATAATCATTATCATTAACATTATCATTATCATGAATCTTCACCCACTAAAACTTTGCGACTGTTTTTTCCCGGTTTGGCTGTGTGTTGATCCGCACTCAGTCAGTCAGTTAGTTAGTCAAAAAGATGTCTCCATTAAAAATGTTGTGTCAAGATTGGAATACCCTATGCATTTTAATGGGTACCCATTTGCAATGGGTTCAGGATATGAAAATGATATTGGAAATGATTTTGCAACGCTTTAAAGAAGCGCAAAAAAAAGTAATGTGGATGCTGTAAAATGATGATGACTTACATTAAGGACAGCCGCATTCATCGACGACCATCTTGGGCAAATCACGTTTAATAATACCGTCGTCGCCGTAGTATATGAGGGACATGCTTGAGAATTTAATTGGAGCACAACAGGGACGCATGCCATTCAGCAGGCCCATTTTGCGATATTCCTCAATAAAGTGCGCATGAAATGTTTGAAATGTGTCCGGCGTACGAAACGGTCCAGTACACTCGCCTCTGCAATAATTGGCAAAATATCCCCTTGGCGCAATGATCCAATCGTCCCAGCCAAGTGCCTTAAACGACACGTAAAACGATTCCTTGCAGCATTGTCCGCTCAACGCGCCGCCGCAGTCGACCGCCCGTCTTCGAACACGCCGCGGCCGGGTCGATTCGGTGTGGAGCACGAGAAATGGGCGGTTTGGATTCACGTGACCCGAGCCAGTCTTCATCTTTGTGTAGGCATTCGGTGCAGACCACTGAAAGAGATGCAGCGAGTATTGGCTACCGCAGCCAGTGCAGTCGATCAATAGACGCAGATTTTCACCGGTAGCGTCGCGGTACCATTCGCGAATCGTTTCGGTTAGGTCGAACTTTTGCCAACCCAGGTGATCGGTGTCCACTTCAAAGGATGCCCGAAACAAAAAGGCCTGATCTATTGCCTGCCAATATATGAAGCAGAAATTTAGTTACCGATTACCACTTGATCGCCAGAAAATTACCTTTTCGGTTATATTTATGCCCTCGGTCATTCGAAATACCCAAATTTTGATCCTTTGGCGGGGTGCATTTGCGTGGTTCTTCCGTTTACCCTTCATTGTTGTCTGTTGTATTTGATGTTGGGCTTCGGCTCTTGCGTCCCATTCATTCGGCTGCTTTTCGATGCGAATGTGCATTTGCGCACTCCTAATGGATATCTTTTGGTTTGGAACACGCGCCTTTTGAGGAGCAAACTCGACTATACGGTACTTCCGATATTGTGTTCCTAAAAAAAAAAAGCGATCAGTTGATTTTATTAGAAGGAAAACCTAGAAACCTTTTTAACTTTTTGCTTTAGTCGAGTTAGGCGGTGGGGTTAGAGTATCTCCAAGTCGGGCACTCCCAACAAGAGCACACTTGTATTGATTAATTACACTTAATTAATATAGCTTGTAAGTTTTAATTGTTAAATTAAAATATTTTTTTGAGCTAATAATAATGCAAACAAGTGTAGACTGGCTAAGGACCGATTGGTCTAGTTGGAAGTGCTCGACTAGGGGATACCCTCACATCAACGCCGAGCTACCTTTACAAACACTCTAGGTTCCTCTTGTACATGCATACACAACAAGTGCACTAGGCTATACCCTAAACTTTCTTCTACCAACACCAAATGCAGCTCGCCCTAGATAGCTCGCCTTGGTAGTTACAAAATTAAATAATTTATCTGTATATACTATTCTAGTTGGTAAATGTCAAATTTGGTGACTCTAGCTCTTTCAATTTAAAGAAATTTTGTTTTAAAACGTGATTTTGATATTGATATTTATCGAGTGCTCGGAAACGGGTGAAAAAAATTTCAAGTCTCTAGGTCTTATAGATTCCGGTTATAGGTTCATACATACGGACATGGCTATATCGAATATATATACTTAATGGGGTCGGGAGCTGTGGCTGTACTAATTCTTTCCTTAGCCCCATACTATGGGAAATTCAATCGATATACGCTTCGGTGTCGATATCCCGATCTTTTCACGGCTTAATTATGGCACACAAAGGCTCAAGGCTCTAGGTTTAAAATTGATTTATTTTCCATTTTGGAGGGGAATGGGATGAGGTATATGTAATGAATTTTGGTGTATTTATTTTATTATTATTATTTTCTAGTTATGCTATATATATGCGAGAATATATATTTCATGGCAAAGTTGACTCAGCCCGTCATCTTGATCAAGAATATATACATATATGGTATACATTATAGGGGCAGAGATGCTTCTGTCTGCCTTCAGTCTGTTACATAAATCTACACTCGCATTATACCCTTTCTACCCTGACGAAGGCTAAACACCAACTAGAGTACTTTTGTTTTTTTTTCGTTTTGCATTTTTAATTGTTTACTCTGTCTGTTGCTCTTGTTTCGCACCTAAGAACAATAGTGAAAGTACTTCACCGCACCTCAGTCTGCAATATCCACTCAGACGACAGCACATTACTTCCATACGTCTGTCTATGCGTGCGTGTGTGTCTGTGTGTGTGTGTGTGTGTGTGTGTGTGTGTGTGTGTGTGCAGGTAGTCTGGTCGGGGCCAGACAAATACATACATAGATACTTGCTCGTCTATATGTACGGGTCCCTGTATGGCTGTAGGAGATACTTGAGTGCGCCTATGCCTCTAGTTGAGGACTGACATATCTGTATTGTACTAACGGCAACATAAAGGTGTCTGTCTATGCAAGTATACATACATATAGGTGTCTGCCAGCGGCTGGCAGCTCTTTTTCAACCCACCACCCAGCGCCGTCATTGACTTGCTTGGTTTACGTATTATTTGTCTATCTATCCGTTCTCTGTAACTTCGTATAAACACACACAAACATATTCACGTTTGCATGTATTCCTTGAGCACGTTAATACATATATATATATATACATATATGTATATATGTGTGTGTGCGAACTTACGTTACTAATGAAAACCCTGCAAAGAAAGCATACGTTTGGCATTGTTTTCTTGTTTTGCAGCACAATGTGACCATCCCCTCCCAATCGGGCAAGCAGAAAGGCGAGACACAGGCGGGTCACACTGGTTACATACAGAGCTTCAATTCAGGCTTTTCAGTGGCCCATTCTCGCTTCGAAAAACGTAGCCGAATCTAAATCTGAGCACAAATTGACAATAAACAACTTTCAGTACACAATTTCAGTTGCTTTCGGCCGACGATCCCTAATAATTAGTCCAATTTAAGAGGTTTTAGTCGGGAGTTCCCGACTAGGGTATACCCTGAACCCTCTTATTCCAACACCAAATGCAGCTCGCGCTACGCCCTCTTTTTTGCTTTAGAAGTAATAAAGAAAAATTAAACAAGTAAGAGGTTCTAGTCGGGAGCTCCCGACTAGGGGATACCCTGAATCCTCTTCTTCCAACATCAAATGCATATATATATTCTATTTTAGGATATGGATATAGATTTTTATCGATTGCATCTACATCTAAAATTTCAAGTCTCTAGCTCTTATAGGTTCTGAGATCCTTGCGTTTATACATACGGACGGATGGACGGACAGACAGACGGACATGACTAGATCGACTCGGCTATTGATGCTGATCAAGAATATATATACTTTATGGGGTCGGAGATGCTTCCTTCTGCCTGTTACATACATTTGGATTTTGCACAAATACAATATACCCTTATACCCATTTTTAATAGGTTCAGGGTATAAAAAGACTGAATAAGCTTACATGGATCAGGTTGCATTTTGGTAAAGAAGGGTGTGACAATATTAACACTAATATTAAAATACATGCATATTAAAAATTGACAATAGTTTTGTTCTATTAAATAACGGATTATTGTAATAAAATATATGGTTATAAAAAGAGAAGGACAGCGGCTTGGAACTCTAGAGTCGGTTACAAGTATGCTGATTATAGAACTGGAAGGTCCCGGAAATAGCTATGCACACATCCCGTCGACTCTTGGTGTTTATGCTTTAATAAAGAAATTCTGGTACTAACCCTCCTCGGCAAAGGTGATAATTTCTTGTGTGCTGCCAAAGAAGTCTTCGCGCTCGAGGCCGACGACATCGTGATCCTGCATGGGCATGGTTGTGTGTTGTGTCAAAGCCTCTTTCTCTTTGCCTCGAGCATTATGGGGCTGAAGTTTCGGTTTATGGTCTTTGGCATGGATCTGGACGCTGTAATCATTAAAATAAATATGATCATTGTGCTCGAAGCCGCCACCGCTTATGTCGTTATTGGTGCTATCACTATCACTACTACGATTTATATCAATAAGATATGTTGATTTTCTATAAGCATTTGACTTGGATTTCCTGTTGACACCATCCTCTTGCTCCTCTTTTCTGGCGACTCGCAATGGTGAACTGTCCGCGGTCCGTGCCGGACCATTTGCCGTGGCCCTTGTGCCCTTTGTTTGAATCGAATCGTTCCACTGCCACGTGGCTGTGTTTCTTCTTTCGGCTGTTCGATTTCTTAATAGATTTGCCTTCTGGCTGCTTTTGGTGCTCCTGCTAATCGTGTATGCCACATTTTTACTGGCGGAATCGGGAGCATGGTAGTCATTGATCTCGGCCACGGTCTGCAGCCTGTCGCTGTCAAAGACATCGTTGGTAACCATTTGGCCACCGTCTGCCCGATAGATCGTCTCCCAGATGAACTGTTTGGGTAGCGGATGGGATACATTTGGTTTATGGGTGAGTCCAAGTTTCGTTAGAATTTGTCGCTTTATCGACTCCAAACGAACCCGGTCGCTGAGCCCGATATTGTTATGGTTACGATTAGTTTTCTTATAGATGTAATTGTTGTTGTTGTGGTTATTGTACTTGTCATTGTTGTTGTTGTTGTTGTTGTTGTTGTTGTTGTAGTCTGTGTGTGGGTTATCTGTGTAAATGTGGACAATTGTTAAGTGTTTTGTAAGTATCAAAGTTGTTTGGATTCGTGTTGTAAATTTTGTGTACATATTAGAGATGGGCGCGTGCATACCTTTCAGCTTTGACGCAAGGCGTGCACTTGAAAAAAGAGCCCAGGCCTGCACTAACAATATTTTTTAAATGGCAAAAAAAAACATATAAACATACTAAACTTTTCTGTAAATACTATGTACACTTTGCAAAAATCTCCTCGCGTTTCTGCCTAAAGGAAGAACGGCCCGTGCCCATCTCTATTGCGAATACAGTGTTAATTGTGTGTTGTGCTTATTTTAAATGCCGACAAAATATTGTAGTCGGATACATCCGACTTTGAACATACTGCGCAATTAGTTTGACTTCATATTAACAAAAGAAAATCAGTAATGTACCTACCTGGAGATTCTAATTAAAAGGTATGGATGCCTTATGCTTAATGTAGCGATCAGACGGACTGTTCAGTTTTTTTCAGCTTTCTCTCGTGTACACTACTAACAAATCTTCACTGACCTATTAATTGAACATACTATGGATAATGTATAAATTTGAAGAAAAAATATAACTGAAGAAACTATGGATAAAGGATTAATTTGTTGAAAAAATATATTGTGTTCATTTAGTTTTAACAAGTGGTAAATGATAGAGTTGTTTATAGTGTTTTTATATTTTAATAAAGTTAATTAATATTATTTTTAATTAAACCTGAGAATGCTTTATCTCGACTAATTTTTTGCTTTTTAGCAACATATTCCTATGAAGTCATTGACAAAATTGGCTGTGATTAGGGGCGTAGCTGGGCACACTCGTTCTATAGCCAATTTATAAATAAACAAATAAACAATACAAATAAAAACAATCAGATTTTAATAAGGCCAATTTATTGGAATATGGAATTTGATTTGTAGTATGTAAATACGATGGGATTTAAAATGAGAGACTCACGTTTGTCGCTGTAAAAGTTGCCCTCTTCAAGTTGGCACAAAGTGCAGCCCTTCTGTGTGACCAGACTTGAAACATATCCGCCGCTGCTCGCAATCGCATTGCAGTTGATCAGCTTAACCTCAAGCCAAAACAGACAAATAAGCAGCCACACTAAATTAGCACGGTTGCGTTTGGCTTTAGAGAAATGGCGCATTGTGCCGTAATTGCCGCCCGATGGCCATGACGAAACGGAAGTCTTTAAAGACGACGTCGAATTGCACGTACGTATTTTTGCTGTTGCCATTATTTTTGCGCTGTCTCCTTCTCGTTCTCGCAGTACTTCCAGACTTGGCAGAAATATGCTGCTATCCTGATATTGCTGCTGTTTGCTGCTGCCCGTCTGCTGTCTGCTCCCGTTGTTGTTGCTGTTGTTGTGCCTCCGCCGTCGTCGACGGCGACGCCGACGTCGTCTTCTCTGCCTCTTGCGATTATTGCAAAACATTTTGCACAGGTTGTTCGTCTTCAGCTGCTGGTCATTTGTGATGTCATAGGAAGCATGACCGTGCCCATACTGTTCCTTCAATTTACTCTCCCCATTGCTGGTCGGCGCGCTGTTAGGCGCTGGCATGGAGCTGGGCGCAGCTATTTGGTGGCCCATCTTAAACAGCGTTATGTATCTGGTCATCAGCGCCAGGAGTGCAACCATCCATTGACGAGCAAGTGTGACGACCACGCCGAGTATCATTATGGCCGCTACCCGAATGCAGGCATTCGCCTTGAGCCGCTGCGTCGACGCACAGAGGTTGATGCTGCTGCTGCCGCTGCTGCTGCTGCTGCATGTTGTGCAGCATATCAGGCTTAGGTTAGTGCAGCTGCAGCAGCATACTAGAACGCAGCAGCCCTGTCGACAGCAGAAGCATGGGCAATTGTAGATGCATTTGATATCCTTGGATCCTGTTGCTGCTGCTGATACAATCGGTTCCTGTTGCTCAAAGTCGAGTCTCATTGTCATTTTTGCAGCGCCTACTCCATGATAGTGCATATTACGGCATCCACTTTCTTAATGGACAAATCCGTTTACTGCATTGAATAAAGAAGTACATGGATATCAGATTAAATTCAAATTATTTGGTTAAAAAAATTCAATTCAAATTTCTTCAACACGGGATGCTTGAATTGCAGAAGCAGAAAACTGAGTCGGTCGAACCAATCAGGTTCGCTTTAAACTCGACACAAGTTGCGTCTCCGTTTAGCTCGAACATGTTGCTGATTCGAAAATGTCGCACTTCAATTGTACGATTGTCTGCGGGATTGGCTAAATCGTTTATTCTAACATTACTCATCTCAATAAAATATTGTTTGCCAGCGATTTCTTTAACCTAGAATGCCATTATGGTTAATACTCTTATAGGTTAATACGGACGGGCGGACAGACAAACAGACGGACATGGTTATATCGACTCGACTATTGATGCTGGCGAAGGATATGTGTACCTTATGTGGTAGGAGATGCTTCCTTCTGCCTGTTTTCATACATTCAGGGTATACAAAATAAATTGTCTTCCGCCAGTTTTTGGTACCTAATTTGCCAAGCGATTTATTATTGTGCATAATAAATAATTTCATTTAAAATTTCAAAAATTAAAAAAAAGAAAATTTTTTTAATTAGATGAGGAACTTTTTCCCAACGAGAAACTTGTGGCAATTTATGACGAAAATCAAGAACATAAAGAAGCCGAAAACGGTAAAGAAACCCAAATTTAACCTGATCTACCCAAAAAAGCAATAAATGCTATTGAAATGGAGATTGTTGGCCCAAATGCAATGTAAACATATTTTAGGGGATTTTTCAGCAAAAGCTTAACGGCCATTATTCGAAAAACAAAAAAAATTTTTTTTTGGGCTTGGAAGCAGTTGAGTTTTTTCTCCAGCCAAATATAAATAGTTCTTCGGGCCCAAGAGGGGTTAACGAAGGGTAGGTGTTAATTGACACAACTTGGTTTGCCCGACTACCAGATACTCTTTACCCAATCGGTAAAATATTTGTGGCTTACTTCGCACTTCACGCTGCGGCATGCTTCTCTCCTCAGTCGATACTTTTGATTTAATTCGGTATTTATTGTCCAAGCTTTTCGAAAATTCTCCAAAAGTATGTAAATCCGAAACTTAAACTGAGTATTTATTTTTAATTTATGGATTTAATTTAATTTATTTAAAAGTAAAATTGTCTGATCATAGAATATAGCCAAATGCGAATTACAAAGGCCCCATACAGGTACCTATAGATGCATTTATATAAAAGTTAAATGCGGAATAAGGGTATATATATGGCATTCAATATTGAGATAGTTGTTCAATTTTGGGATCAGTGGAGAAGGCATCCAAAAAGTGAAATATTTCTAATATAAGTATGCTACAGACTAAATTTGATCCACATAGATCTCTAAGTTATTGAGTTAAGCTTAATAAACCAAGTCTGAAATCGATTTCGGATGATTGAGCAGGGCTATTGCTCTTTTTAAGAAACTAGTTACTAGTTCTACAACACCTGCAGCCCTTCAATTTAAAGACTTTAAGGTGAGGACTTCTATTTACACTCTATTGTGAATGCCAATCTCTGCAATTGGTTGTCATTCGACACTCTCCCGTTATGCCCAGCCTCGTGTACCGTTATGGAATGAAGTTCTTGCCTAGAATGACGGGTTCTTGTAATAAAGTAATTGCTAAATGTGGCCATAACAAGAACGTTAATGTAAATAATAATAAAAAATAATAAAAATAAAATATATATTAATAATAATAAAATAATTTGATCAAAAGTATAAAATGATGAAATATTAGACAAAACTGACAATAAAATGAGATAAACTAAATTGACAATACTTTTCTCCGTGACTGTGTGTGTATGTACTTGTGTATTTGTGTAAGTACACGAACAAACATACGCACATACACACATACATACACACGTATAGATTATGTTCATATAGTAGAAACCATTTGTAACGACTGACAGACAAAAGGATGCGACGAGACGACGCCAACAGCGACCAATATAAAAGCCAGCTGGGGCTGTGGGTTATAGGAAGAGCAAGCGGGACGGGACACAGCGAGGGGGTCCACAGCCAAAGCGGCAATCAAATGAATTGGAGAGTTTCTATGCTTTAAGCTATGATGACACAATCTATTTGGCTCACAATTTTGCAAGATTTTCAATAGAGAACTATTTAAATTTGCAGCACAGGAGTTGCCATTTATATTTTATATTTTTATTAATTAAACAATTAAACATTGGTGTGGGTATGGTATGGCGTGTAAATTGCTGGTTTTCTTCATTTTGGCATTTCGCAGACACAACAAAATTCCGGGTAATATTTTATTATACAACCCAGCTTAATTAACAATGTATTTATGTATGTATGTTTGCAAGTCTTACATTTACAGTTGGTTAGTGGCAGACAAACTAATATTGTATTAGACAATCTTGTAATAGTGACTAATATAATGGTTAGTTAAATCCAACAACTCTAAGTTCTTTGTTTACGAAGATGTCTAGATATCTACATACATGCATACTTATTCAGACTCACACACACACAGACACACACACACATAATCAGTGCTTAAGCATTGGAGACACTTCGTCTGGAGCACATTTATTGGAGATGGAGTGAAATTCGATTGTCAGCCAAAACTGGCAAATTCGCCAAGCTCACATATACACATACATACATACATTCAAATAGATAGTTGTGTATGTGTGTGTTAAAAGTACATAAGTGAATGTGCATGTGTATCTGCACATATGAATACATACATATCCATGTTGTGTGTTCTCTCCTTCATATGCATGTACATATGTACTTCATTTAATTGTGCTTGGTAGGTTTTCTAAGTCTTGTAACTCATTAGTGTTATTAATTTAATTTATTATGTATAATTAATAAGAATAAATTAATTTCTTTTGTTAGTTTAGTCTAGTACATTTCAATTTCTTTTTAATGTGCTATAATAATATATATATATATGGTATATATATTATAGTTTGTAATGTTAAATGTATTAGATATTTTGGATATTTTTCTGTTGTGTTACTTGAACCGATCGAAGCCGTTTACTTTAACACAATTAGCACACTTTAAATTTCTTATTTAATTCATAAAATAAACTGGCGAATTTATTTGATTTATGTTAATTGGCACTTTAAAAAACGTTAACTATTTATCTGGCACCAAATCGTGACAGTTGCAGAGCAAGTTGCTTTGCGAAATAACAATAACGTTTATTCCGCTCGGTGTTAACGGACTAAATGAAAATTGAAAAACGAAAACACGCTTACGAGTGAAAAGGCAATAGTATTTCATCAGCTGGTACAGTATGCACTCGATACGAATACTCCATAACTTTTACTTTAAGCAAGCAATAAGAATATTTGTTTTTAAACTACTATTTCTTGATTGGAAATCCCATTTGAATGTTTATTAAATATCAATAATTGCATTATGTAATATTTACATATTCATTTGATATTTTCTGTGTATATTTAATCCATTCTACTCGCCTTTAATTTATATCGATGTGTACATCAAAAGTGTAAAGAACAGTTAATAATAATGCCAATATATTAAACAAAGTTTGATAACTGTTTCTTACAGCGAGTTATGCCTGTGTATAAAATGTACTCTTTCAGGTTAACGGAAAACGAAGCGAACGAAACTACATTGGCCACATGTCAGCTGGTCGCATATATTAAAGGAGGGTGCTACTCGACAAGAGCTCACTGCTATGAATCTACGAAAGCCCTAGCCAGTATTCAAAAACTGGCCACCCTTTTTATTCGATTATTTATTTGCGCCAAACTCTGACAGAGAATAGAGTTTCAAAGAATATGATTAATTAAAATTGTCTATGATATACAAAAGCCCACAGCTAATATTATGTTTTGATTTTACGTTCCTTCAGGTTTTCTTAGCTTAGCAAATTTTGGTTCATTGAAGCAGCATACAACATATTTTTGATACTTATAATGTGTCAACACTGAGAATATATAGAATGGTTACATATCTACTTATCTTATATATCCATGCATTTGGCGGGTATCTTATTGCTTCTCGATTCAGACTTTGTTGTTATCGACTATATATTTTAAAACTTGCCGCAACAGAGCGCGTTTTCGGCTCAAACTGCTTATAAAGGGAATTGCACAATCAAATGCATACCCTGGCAGCCCTGGTTTTATCGATATAAACCACACACGATAATCGATTATTGTTCGTGCTCGTTTTGCTACGTGCTTTAAGTAATTCAAATTCGTACTTTATGTTGTTCTCACACACAGGAATGTCAACAAGTGCTGCGATGATTGCAAGTCACAGATTGCGTTCAATTAATATAGTCAAAATACTGACGTTTTGGGCCGCATCGTATCCGGAAAATTCCCAGATGTTAGACGTACCTGGCCACAGCCAGTCGAGGATGGCGACGTCAAATAATTTAATGTGTGCAATCGCAGTAATGCTGAGAAGATTAATACCACCACTTTCGCCATTCGCAATGTTCATTATTTCATCAAAGCGTTGTAATCAATCCGGCTACGAAAATTGTCAAAAGTTGATCCCCCCGCACATTGCTGCAGTTGTTCCATTTCTTCAATCTGCGGCGGGATCAAAGGGCGGGACAAAATGGCGCAGAGCGCAGGGACGGCAAACATAACCTGATTCAGCGATTTAATAAATTTCAGCCGCAATTATGGCAGGTCGGAGAATGGGTATAAAAATCTGGGACTCAGGTAAGAATGAACGAAAATCCGTAAACATTTTAAGGTAGCGTAAGGTCTCGACCTCTTGAAATATTAGCAGCTGACAATTGAAAATTTCTTCGCAAAAGATAAGATGATATTTATACCGGGCGGTCCATAAACAACATTCTTTGGCTTTGGCGGTAATTCCAATTAGAGATGATCGATATTTACTCAACCAGTTTGAAGTACCTTGAAGTATTTAGTTACTGTTAACAATTGTAAAAATAAGAGTGCTTTTTTTTTGTCAAGTGTCGTACAGCAACGGTACTGCTTGACGATGAATTGTCGATAGTTTTGGACTATCGCGAGCGCTTCGAGGTGAGCGATTGCCGAATGCAATTGAGTAACGATACTAATTGACGATGAATTTTCGATTTTTTTTTTTAAACAAGCTGGCGGCTATCGACGACAAATCATCACAATCATCAAATTTTGATTTGGCGCCAACTGTTTATATATTTAAAAGCATGCAATAAATTGCTATTGCTTGCGTTTGCTATTTAAATTAAGTTTTGAAATTAAATATTAATTAAATTGTCTGTCAAAATTGACGTGTGCGTTAGATGAAAATAGGAACAGAGAATACGATTATCTACTTGCTAAATAGTTTATAGAATAAGATTAAATAAGAGCAAAAGAAGACCCACAGATTTTCCTCTTGGAATCAGAACGAAACGTTTAATGCAAGGCATAGTTAATTGAACCAAATTTGAGAGATAAAGGTTTATAATTTGTATTAGTCTAAAGGGGGATTTTAATCATCGGGAATCTTCTGGAGTTTAATGGTACGCAAACTTTAGGATCCCAATTTATTCCATTTGAAAGAGATTGATTATGAAGAAAACTAAATAAAGAAGTTTATCGTTTACTACAAAGTTTTACAAACTTTTAAGCAGAAAATGTTCTCGTATTTATCTGTAAATATGCCAACATTTTTAAGTATGAAAAATGTTTTGGCGCTAAAGAAGTAACTTTAATTTCTTGACCAGAATACTCTTATTTTTTAATCAAAACTTTAATAACATTTCATTGTAATTTCAATTAACACCTTGTCCATTTGACAAAGTGTAGCCTCAACACTTACTTTACCTGCCCTGTTATGGCCAATATTGCTGGCCGATTCCTGGCATACTTAACAAAACAATAATAAACAAAAAATTATCATTTTAACATCATTTCACATTTAAAGCTACCTTGCCAAAAACAAAATCTCCTTTTGATAATTTGCCGATTTTTATACCCTGAACCCATTAAAAATGGGTATAAGGGTATATTGTATTTGTGCAAAATCCAAATGTATGTAACAGGCAGAAGGAAGCATCTCCGACCCCATAAAGTATATATATTACGGATCAGCATCAATAGCCGAGTCGATCTACCCATGTCCGTCTGTCTGTCTGTCTGTCCGTCCGCCCGTCCGTCCGTCCGTATGTATGAACGCAAGGATCTCAGAACCTATAAGAGCTAGAAACTTGATGTTATATTAGATGCTTCTAGTTCCCGCGCAGATCGAGTTTGGTTCCGATAATCGATAACTTCCTCCGTTTCCAAGCAATCGATAAAAATCTATATCGATTCCTGTTTTTTGGGCAATTTTGGTAAATAATAAGAGCTAGAGTCACAAAACTTGACATTTAGCTTCTAAAATAGAATATATATATGTATATTTTATATTGGAAAAAGAGGGTTCAGTATATCCCCTAGTCGGGAGCTCCCGACTAGAACCTTTTACTGGTTTTTTATTGTTCTCATTTTTTGGTATGTGAAAGAAGAATCTGTTCTAAACATCATTTCACATTAACATCATTTCACATTAAAAAGCTACCTTGGCAAGAACCAAATCGCTTTTAAATAATTTGCCGATATTTATTTTTTATACTCCTTTTTTGCGGTATGTGCAGGAAGAATCCATTGTAAAGTAAATTTCCCTGACAAGAGCATTTGCCCTTTTACCAAAAATATTGTCTTTTTGTAAATACTGGTACAGCTCATATGGGAGAGTCGGTGTAGTTTTGAGTGTATTAGTGGCTCGAGGAATTACGGTTCGCTGCTTTGTTTCCTATAAACATAAGCACATGCATACGAGCAGGCATTTTCTATATGTTTGTGCATTTGAGCACAATTGTAATTGTGAATGGGCTTTGCCACCAAGAAGTTAACTATATTTATTTTCGAAATTTAACAAAATACAAATTTATGTTTTCAAAGATGCTCCGAGAAGTTTTCCGGGCATCTCAGCAAAATACAATGGAATGTCTCGATTAGTTTATATTTTACGATTTAGTCAAAAGGGTTTGCTAAAAAATGTCGATTTCCTTATTTATTAAAATATGTCGTTGGACATGAATAACTAGAACAACAACAATGAGCTCAAGTCGAGCCTGACTAGGATATACCCTGTACCCAACCTGTAATATTCATAAAAAACACGCACAAGAGGAGAACGCAATCTGGACTCAATGCAGCGACAGATAAATCAAATAGTTTGATCTTTATTTAATTATGTATATGTTGAAAATGTAATTTTAATGTACAGTATGTCAAGTGTTATTACTATTATTATTACTATACTATAATTTGTATACCGTTTAATTCTAGTAAAAAAAAAAGAATCGAAATAAATTAGAAATGAAAAATAATACTGACTTTAAGGTATATTAATTTTCAAATAAACCTACAAAATGAGTTATATTCGTTAGTAAAAACACTTAACACAAAAAGCTGTCAAAAGATACATATACCCTTGTTAATCCATTTGCAATGGGTACAGGGTATAACGGGAGGCCTAACACAATTAAAACACAAGAAGACACAAAAAATAGCTTGCTCTTGCCGAAGATTCAATACCCTAGAAGATCTACAATAGATGTACGGTATACATATTTCTGATACCCTAACTTAAATAACTGAACGCAATTGTGTAGATACTTGTGTCGCCATGCCGTTCGATGCATTATATATTTCGTGAATACCTCTTAGCAGCCTCTTCGGCAAGGGTATAAAATAATGACGACGATAACAACAACAAAAACAACAAAAACAACAACAACAACAGTCGTCGCACATAATGGCAACTACAGCGGTAGCCAAAGCAAAATCAACATCAA